AATCTGCGGCTTTTGTACATGCTCCTAATATAATTAAGCCAACGTAAATGTATTTTTCAATTATTGCAAATATAATCTGTTTTTTATTGTATTGGCAAACAATGTACAATAACAATTTGTATTTAAATGTGTTTTAGGCATTTAACAATAGATTCTGTTATGTTTATTTCTGCTGTAGTGAAAACATTAAAACTATTGTTTTTGTTACGATTTTAAAATAAGTATTGTACATGAAATTATTATAGCGTTGTTAATAGCTACTAATATTGAGCCTAGGCACATCGTAGACCTGTAATAATACAATGCATTTTAAATAATTTGTACATATAGCGTGAAGAGGTTTTGTATGCAAATTACAAATGTTATTTGCTTTAATCAGAATACACGATTACATATCCTTAAGAGCATCCAGTTTTCGTCATACCACAGATGCTATATTATATCTTGTTACTATTTCGCTTTTGCCGCCTGGGTGTCCTCCTTTTTTCCCCCATATCATGTGAAGTGCGTGCAGGTTAAGCGAGCTGTGGAGTGGTATTCGCCGGGCGCGCACATTCCAACATATTTCTTTGTGACATTTTCCTTGTGCATTATTAATCAACTGGGAGTATTTATAATTTATGTTGACATGCACTTATTTATAAAATTCACAACACATTGAGAGAAATGGCAGTGAGGGAACATCATTAACAACGCCGACTTGGATATATAAGTGGATATTTTCTATGGGGCGTAGCATTTCCGCCAAAAGGCTTGACGTCAGCGAAATGTGTTGAATATTTAATGCAAATTGCATATTAGTCGCATTTTGAACGCAACTTCGCAAGACTTGAATGGCTAAAAAGGTCACGCAATAACAACCAACTTTTAACCCTTAAGTCTGTACCGATTTTCTTCTCAATAGCTCTGATTTCTTTCACTTCTATTATTTCTCCAATTGCTTGAGTTTTTCCTCTGCTGTTTATCCTGCGCGAGAACGAGTGGACTATATGGGGTTGACGAAGTTGTGAACATGTTTTTGCAATGGGTAGAAGGATGACGCTACTGTATCTTTAATCCAACAAGCTATCGGTACGAAAAATATATCTATATATCAAGATCTGTGAACTTGCATTGGGGCGGCAAACCAAAAATATATTCGGTTTACGGCTCGAACCAACTTCCTGAATTGTGGTTCGGCTTATAAGCCTGCCCTTTCACATAATTATATCTAGGTTTTGATTCAATCCTCGTATAAAAAATAACGAATTATATCAGAAACGAATACGAATAAGTATATATATATAATTCTCCCACAATAAATCTGCTTACATGTATGTATTTGACACATCTACAGGATATCTGCTAGTCACACACTTGCCGTATATATATTGCAAACTTCTAATGAAAGTAGTTTTGTTCTTGACTGGCCCCAAACAAAGAGTCTTTCGCTAGGGCTGCGTGAAGCACGTAGCAAATAGAATCTCATTTCCGCTGCTCCACAGCTGGGCGAAGAAATTCGCATGCAAATCGTGGCAAGGTGCAAAATGAAATGAAAGCCAAAGATAACGTAAAGAAGAAGGACTAACAAAGGCTTTCAGCTGGGGCGACTAAGCCACAAAACAAGTGAAGTCATGTGGAAGCAACACTTGTGGCTAGGATTTGATGCAAGCGCTTTAAGGCGTAAAGGGCATCATATAGCCATTTCCCGGAATTATTTCCGTCAATGAAAAGACACCTGTCCGGACATGCAATTTGAGCGCTGTCCCAGTAATATTCTATTGCTGACAATTTGCAAATAGTTGATTGCAATCATGGGACAGAACAATTTTGATTGGACATAGCTGCCTCTGCTGCAGCAGCGACTACAAATACTCAATTTCAATGGCAATTTTTCATAAAGTTCAAGCGCAAAATGCTCTATCCAGATACGAATGTGAATACGGATGTGGATGCGGATGTGGATGCAAATGCGGATGCCAATTGGCACGCTCCGGCGCAACATGCCATGTGCGTAACCTATTTCAAACAGAGCGACAGCAAGAGAGGCAGCGGGTGCGACAGAACAGGCAAATCGAGCTGTCGCCTGTCGGCTGTCGGCTGCACAATACAAAACAATTTGCTGGCGTTGCCACCGCGCATTGCTCGGCTACTGTCAGTCTTTCAGTCAGTCTATAAAATCCACACACATAGCGCAATTGCATATAAAACGCAGAGTAATACTTGTTACTGGCGCGTCTAATATTAACAATGGCAGAAGTGTTGCAGCAGCAGCAGCAGCAGCAGCAGCAGCAGCAGCAGCAGCAGCAGCAGCAGCAGCAGCAGCAGCAGCAGCAGCAACAGCAACAGTCAGCTGGCAATTTAATGTAACAAGCATATTGACTGCTGACAAATAGCATTGCATGTCAATTCATCAAAAGATATAAAAAAAAAAAAAACGATTGCTTTAGTTCAGAGTGCCCAACCAGGAAATACCCTGAATCTAGTGCTGAGCCTCCGTGCAAGCAATCGAACCTTCTTCTAAACTAAGTGTACCTCTTTCTTTTCTGAATATTTGATAAGCGGGGCATGTATCCAAAAATTAAAATATTCCTAATCTGAGTATGCTATACGAGAACCTGCGTCCTTCAGACGGACATGTCTAGGTTGACACAGCTCGTCGCTTCCTTCCGCCTGTTACTTACGTTTTCACCAAACCAGTATACCCTTTTTTTATCCGTTGAGGGTGTAAAAATATATATTGAAAAAACTGCGCAAAACTATTGACACAGAGATGAGAAGCAGCTAGGAGGCCAACAGTTGCTGATCCTGGCACGCACTTGCCATTGCTGGCTCAGCAGCAGCGGATGACTGCAAATTTGCTTAGCTGCCAAACAAGCTTCGATTGCTGCGAGTGTGTATGAGACTTTTACAAATTGTTTTGAAATGAAATTCAAGCGTCATTGGGGAGCTGTGTGTATTCTGTGTGCACTGCCTTGTGGTAACTCCAAGCTCCCTTAAGTATTGTTGCTTGCTATTTGCAATTGAAAATTTACTTTCGCTACGCAAATGATCAGCGGGTGGAGCAGATGCGTGTCCATAGATGACTTATCCCACTCATTAAAGCAATTGACCTGTGCGCCTCCTATTTCGAACTCTAGCTTTGAATCCTTATCCTATAGTTAAATCCCTGGGCAATTTAATAAGGTATGCCTTTACTTTTTATTGAATCCAATCGGATTTAATACGATTACCTAAATTAATATATTTCATTTATTTTTTATACCTTGAATATTGAAAATGGGTAAAAAAGTGTAATGTTTACTTTGCAAATGTCTTATATTACAGTCACCACGAGGCACCATTTATATATATTCTTGATCACGATAACGAGCAGATCCGATCTATTCATGTTTTTTTTTTTGTAATTTAAACTCTCTTTTAAAACAAATACTTTCGGATATCATTCGCAGCAGGTATATTACTTTTCCGACACGCGCTTTAAGCATAAATTGAAAGTTATAAGAACTAGGTTGACCAAGCTGGGCATGTAGACTCTTGGCGACAAGCTATTTGGCTCGACGTATACCCTATCTAGAGCATCGCAAATTTACTTAGGCGTACCCATACCCTACACTAGAATCAGTTTGAGTTATGCCTTGTGCGACGCTTATCTGGCATATAATATCTTGCGCTGATTTTTGCATATTTCCCTAATTAAAATTCACATTAACTGAGAGCTCTTCAAGCGTCAATATCTTCAAGATATTATAAGGGTGTAGTACATAATCCAAGCGCACTCCTACCTTGTTCAACATTCAGGTTCATTCCTCTATTCCCTTAACAACAAATTGGCTCAATTATTGTCGTTTGCACCGCTTTCCCGCACCGCACCGAGGGCCGACCTTATTTTGCCAGCAAGGTATAAAAACTTTATTAAAAACTTTGTGCCCAAGCCTTTTTTGGAACCTTCCCTGTTTTATTACACGTCGTCTGCTGTCTTTGGGTCCCGACTTGTGTTTTATATATACATATTTATAAAATATACACGCACATTTAGGCAGCGCACTGCACTCCAGGGGCGCTGAAGAAATCAAATTAAGAAAATTTCCTTTCTGGCAAAACTTTTGTGCCTGTTTAGAGTTTTGTAATACTTCAACGCTTCGGCGTCTGCGTCTGCGTCTCCTAGATGCTGTCATGTTGCTTGTTTTTGGCGTTTTCAACCATTATGGCTGAACTGGTGCCGTTGGCCTTAGCCCCATGTGGTTACTTCAAAAATGCTAAATGGTCCCAAAGCAATTGCAACCGCAACAGCAGAAACAACTGCAAAAACAGCAACAGGGGAAGTCATCAGTTGGCTTTAAAAACACGAAAAGGCCAATGAAAATTCCAGTCCAAAGTACTCGCTTGTCTAATAAAAAAGCTGGGCTAAGTCATCCACAAGTCCGTTATTTCATCCTTAGCAGAGGGCATTCTTTTTTTGTTATTAAATATGTAACGCTTTGAAGAAAATTTTCCAACTTCATGAAATTGCTGTACATGTGCCTTTTTTTTCGTCTAAAGAACTCAAGTAGTCTTCAAAGCAAAGCTATTTTGATGATATTTGATAGATATGCCTAACTATACAGTAACTATATTGAATGCCTTGATCGTTGAAAAATTGAGTTTGCTGTTACAAAACTTATACAAAATAATAGAAAACTTATACAAAACGCTATATTACTTACCTCCGTTCGAAATAATTGGATCAAAATTCCTAAATATTCTTAAGGAAAATGTATATCTTCGCGCCTAAAAGCACTCTAAAGTTTTTGACAATACATTGTCTAGTAAATTAAACGATATTTGATAGCTTCACAACGAACAGGGAAAGCCTATAACAAATTATTTTAAGCCCTAAAGAAGGCTTAATGCTATCCGTATAGTATATTGGCTAATAAAAAAGGCAAATTTGTTTGTTAAACCATCAATTATAGAAAACTATTTTGTACGTTCGAGGTAAAGGTCTTGAAGCGTATTCAAATTTCGACAACTTGGCTTTATTTCTTGTACTTTATCTTTCGTTGGCCAGAACTGTAGGCAGCCAAATTGAGTCAAAGTTAATTTTTACCGCTCCCAGAGTACGAAGTCCGTTCAGGTTCTTTTTCTTTTGCTGTTGGCTTGCTAAGGCTTATACAAACATTTTCAGGTGGGGCTTGCCCCTGCTTATGTGACGCAGCATATTATGCTTTCCGAGTCTTGGAATGTCAGCTAGTTAAATTTCCAAACTGAATCGCATAGTTTTAAATAAAGCTCATTTCGATCAAGTAAAAAGTATCTTTGTATATGTGTTGCTTATTTTTATTAGCTCAATTGCTTTAATTTTCTTTTGATTAACTTTGAGTTGGTATATCTATTACAGAAACCTTTTTATGCAGTTCACTATTCAGTCTTTATGGTCTCGCACACATTTTCAAGGTCAACTGGTTGGCTTATGTGCTTTTGGCCGCTGGCTGTTGCTGCTGTTTTTGTTTGGCCATATCCCCTTTCGGGTTCAATAATGTCATAGAGCGTGTCGCAGGCCAGGCGCCAAAATTTATGACCAAATTGTTGACCTGGAGCCTTTGCGCCCGAGCCATTGAATCTGCGACCAGGCAGCGTAGCACGTGCCGGGCCCAGGAAAATAATTTAGCCAAAAACATGAGAAGCTTGCCTTATAAATTATGCACACACAACAACAATACACGAGATGCTCGAAGGTATTGTCTAAGCGACCTGCCCACAAATGCAGCGCTGGCCACAACATCAGCACCAAAGGAAAAAAATGGACAACAACAATAAGAATATCAGCAACAACAACAACATCGAGAACAGACATTACTCACCGCTTGGCCTTTTATTTTATTGTATTTTATCTTTTGGATTACTTTTTGCCATGACCACAACAGATAAACTCGAGCATCTTGGTCGAAACGCAGAGCAGTGGGAAAAAGCAAATAAGAAAGGAAAATGCTGAAGCTATTGTTGCATACTCGTCTTGGCTTGGCTTGGGCTCGGGCCACCCTAAGGGCTACAAGACAACGGCAATGGGTCCCAACAATTGCGCATGTTAACATACTTGTAAGTAGTTTTTCCACTTTGCCATGTTATTCCACCAACACACCACCTCCACCACCGGCGCTGAGGGCCCACAAATACCCATGGCAAAGACCACTTGCGCATTTGTTTTGGCCAACAACTAGCCGGCAGCGGTTGCCATTGTTTTTGTAATTATCTGCACGTTATTTGTGGGTCAATAAAACTTGATATTTGTTGTTTGACCAACGTTTAACGCTCTCTTCGCGATACGATTTATGGCATAAGCGGGGGCTAATTCTGAATGCCGCTTAACATGCAAACAGATTAACGTAGCCTTTGCCATTATCAAGAGCTGTACAAGTTTTCAACAATAAAAATACTTAACTTATAAATAAATTTCAATAGATTGCCACAGTCTGAAATATCCAAGTTATGCAGGACCAGTGCTGAATAATGATTAGGTTCCACTGTTGGTAAATATCTAAATTCAGTGTTGGAAAGACAACTTAAAATTCGGTGTTAAAGATCACTCAAAACGTCAAAAGTTCCAAAAAAAGTATTTAGAATGAAAAAATTGGCTCTTACTTGTATAACATTATGTATTTTAATAGTGTACAGCGAGATATTTAAAATGACAACATGGTTTTTATTTCGTGAAGCATTGTGAACTTTAATTCTTGTAAGTTGTGCTAAACCTTTTAGTGGTGTTCGGCGAATGTATTTTTAATCTGTTCTTATGGCCTGCATAAAATATATTAATGTGTTTCGACCATTTATCATGGCGCCTTTTTTTTTTGTTTTAGATAATTAACACATGCCCAAAGCTGATTTATTTATTTGAGTTTATGTTGCTTCATTGCCTGTTGTTATAGTATACCGCTTCGGCGGTAATTGTAGCCGCTGTCAATGGCTCGCTTGGCACACAAATTTATAAGTAATTTGCTTTGGAGGCGGGGATCCGGACGAGCCAAACAGACAGTGTACCTTGTTAATACCCTATGGCCATGGTATAAAGGGATAAGCCAAATATTGACTTTGTTACGAGCAAGTTCATTTTATTCAAGTCTTCAAGACCTTACCTGTATAATTGCCTCCAGTGAAATTTTTTAAAATTAATTTATATCGCGTGCAACCCTCCTCCGCGTTCGTGTAAGAGTAGAAATTTGAAGCCAATTAAATTTGATTTTATATTTAATAATTTGTTGTTCCTTCTGCCTTAACAGTTACCAGCTACACAGGGTATATTATTGGCGCCCACTCTAATAGCTTGTTCTTGGGTGCTTTGTTTTGGTTTTGTGGCAATCATTAATGATAAATTACCAGTATTTGGTGTTCAATTATTTAATGAAGTGGGCAACGCGTTGGAGTCGGCTTTATTGCTCGCTCCGAAGAGGTGCTATCAAATTTCAAGCAATTTGATTGTATTGTTTAATGCTAGCTTTATATTTGGGCAGTTTTGTTTTACTAACAAATTTAGATGAAAAATGAAATACATTGCTGCTTCTTTCCACTTGACCTATCCGCACATTAATAACAGGCATTTAAAAATGATTTTAGAATATATTTACAGTGCTCGTGTTTTAAAAAGTAAATAAATTAAATGAAATGGTCAGACATTTGACGTTTAGTGCCGTAAATTGCTTGAGTATCGCGAGATTACTTTAATAAGTAAATACTAGCCGACATTTCCTTCCCTTGCTTGGCTCATGTTTCTTGCTTCAAATTTTAGATATATCTATTCCATTTTCCATTCGTGGGAAATTTAAATCTACCCGTGATAATAGTATATAGAAGTTTGGAAATTAGTTTGAATCAGATTTTTTGCCTTTTGTAGTCTCGTAGTGTGCCCTTCAAAAATCGTTCAGTCAGTCATTTAGTAAGTCCGTCAGTACAAATAGTTTCATATATAGAGATATATGTATAATTTCCTGTTTCTCAACATTTGTATGACAAAGTATTCAGAAACAGCGGTAGTAATTGGTGTACAGTAATCAGTAAAATATTATTATTTTTTTTTAGATTGCTCGACAAATTCGTATCTAGAAAAAAGATCGTATTTAACAAATGTTAGACCAAAGCCTAGGAGTTGGCCAAGAATTAATCTGACCAGAGCAAAAACAATGGGCAAACAACAAATTGTAAGGCACGAAATACCAATTGTTCAAAAATAAGGTAAGACAACTAAAACTAGAAGTATCGTCAAACATTTAATACCCTTGTAGACATTTTGCCTAAAAGTGCTTTTATACCAAAGCTATAGCCATTGATATATTTGTCAAATGTGGGAAGGTTTTATGTGTTAAAAGCATAGTGAAGATCCGATTGGCTAAAACCAGAAAGATTTTTTTTTTATGGAAGAGCTCAATCTAAGCTTTCTAAGAAGCTGCCAATTATGGTGTTTTCGATGTGGATAGGATTTTGCTCATATGTATGGAGAATCACAACATAACATAACATAGTTTGATCAAGGTAATCTAAAAAAAGTTTATGCATCTTAGCAAAAAGACGGACCTAAGCAACATAAAATTAAGAGACAAGTTTGTACAGAAACAGGCAGACGGACAGACGCTCATGGCTACATCGGCTAAGAAAAAATATACTTTATGGTTTCGTGCTATTCTAAGCGTTACAAGTTGAATGCAAGAATTATATTATCCCGTTACAAGGGTATAAAAACGCAGGATGTAGAGAAGAAGGGAAATCTATGGCATGTGAGTGAGGCAACGTCAATTGTTTAAAAGTGAAAATTCGATTTTGTGGTAAGGCAGAGTCGACAAAAACAACAACAACACAGCAGACAAATGGCATGCAAAATAAAGTACAAAAAAATTGTGCTTTTTATAGTGAGTGTGAGTGTGAGTGTGTCTGTGTGTGTGCGTGTTTCCTTTTAGTTTGAAAAGCCTGTTATTGTTGCAGTCGATGTTGTTGTTATTGCTGTCGCCTCGGAATGCTGATGCTTTGTGTCAATGGCTGGACAGTTAGTTGTATGCATGTGTATGTGCGCATATCTGTGTTGATGTGGCCGAAAAATATACACAACAAACGTGCAAACAACACACTCACAAACACAGCAGCAGAGTTGGGGTGGAATCGTCAAAGACACAGCCAGCTGTTGAACCCTGGACGAGGCAGCGTCATGCTGCATGTTCCCAAAAAAAAAAAAAAAACAAGAGGGAAGGATGCAGAATCGAGCATTGGGCAGGTGGAGTAGGAGCAGTAGCAGGACTAACAAGAAACGTAACGATAACGAAAAACAAACTTTAAAAATTGGATTCTTCATTTGCATCGGCAAATCCAATCAAGCCAACGTAAAGACCCCGACCAGACACATGCACAACATAAAGTCGATGCAGAGACATGGACCAGGCGGCCCACGTGGTCCAAAAGCTTGCAAAACCCCACGCGGTTCGGTATAAAAGTTGGCTACGCCACCAGCACATGCAGACAGAGAGAGAGAAAAGGAAAGAGAGACAGAGAGAGGGAGGGTGTAAGGCAGGTACGTGTATAAAACGTACAATAAATGAAAGGTGTGCGCCGCATGTTTGGCCATATAGTTGACCGTTGCTTATGGCTTAGCTAGCTCAGCCTTCCTGCTGCTTTCTGGTGTGTCCGGTTGAAAATTGGTAACGATTTGTATTGCATTGGCCAGCACAAAAGAGGCTGCCATTGTTACGATTGCCGAGTGCTCCTCAAAAGTTTTGCCGCCAGCACTTCGTCATCCCCTTGCACTTCATCCATCCACTGCCCGCTGCTTCTCCTTGAAGCTGTGGCATTGCAAAATTTTCTTATTTGTATGCTTGGCTTACCTGCCGTTATCCATCTGCCTTGTGTCTTCATCAACTGGGCCTGTATTAAGTCGCTTGTTGGTAGCCTTCGCCGTCGTCACAGCCTGTCTCTCACTTACGCTTTGTCACTGTGTTCGATTTGTTGCTGTTGTGGTTTTGGCTGAACACATACACACACACATACACACGCACACGCAACATATGGAGGGAGAAGGGCAGGAAAAAACTGTAGCATACTTGTTGGGGCCGCTCGCTTCGGTTATTGATTGCAGGCATACGTTTGCCATTTTATTACAAGACCCAAAAATGGTCAACGAAAAAATGCAGCAGCATTGTTTTTTGGCCACGTTAATTGCCAGCGAAACCAAACATTTGCGTCAGCCCAACCGCAGGCAGCGATGCTAGCCGCAGCCCCACCATCAGCGTCAACGTCGACGTCGACATCGACATGGACGACAACATCAACCGCCACTTAAATTGCCCAAACCGCGACAAGTGTCCGGCTGCGACTGCTGCCATGGTTGTGGCCAGCCATAGACACGGCCCGTTGAAGCGCACAAGAAAACCATTCATTAGCGCTTATCAAGCCCCAACCTCAATGGCCATTTGATTTTGCGCTTAACCTAAACTACACGACCTTTCTGCTTTTCTTTTCCTTTTTTTTTTTGTATTCCAACATATAACAAACGCTTAGGCTGGCCGCGCGGCAATCGCTGACGTTTATTGTAAATGGTTGTCCAATGAAAATTGTTGTGGCCTATCAACGTCAACGCGGCCTGCATGGTGTGGGCCATGTCCTAGGAGGTGTCCTGTGTCATTAGTGCGAGGAAAAAAAATTCTCGTGCGAGCCGTGAAAAAAATAACTGGCATTTTTATCGGCCTATACACAATGGCTGTTGACTGTTGCCACGCTTTAGTTTAATTGGCACTTGACAGTGTGGCCAACAGGCTGCTGGTATTGCCGGTGCTATCAATCAAATTGGCTTCTTCAACTGTGGTCGTCGGAACATGTGTGCCAGATTATAAAAGATTTGCTCATTGGATTTAATGTAAATACTATAAAAAAGAATTGCATAATAAGTGATGTGATATTGAACTTTAATATAAGTGGCAAAAAATTTTGTATGCTGCTTCAGTTCTTCTTTTGTGTTGTTGACAAGAATTTATTTCATTTGATTTCAACTAGTTTTATTAATAGTAGATTTTAAAAGCCATCAATACTAAAAAACAATCAATAATTAATGAAAGGTGAAATATAGTATATTTATCATCGTCCGTCCGTTTCTATAGTTCCTCAGTTTTGGCCTTTTAAGCCCGCTGTATTAATAGAATGGTTGGTCGAAAAGTAAGTTCTTGTATTAAGTGTGGTATATGTCTATGAAGATATCTTGTCCAAGCTCAGCATATATTGGCTTCACTAGCTTCCTATATACAACCAAAATCTTATCAACGTCAGACTATTATATATATACTATAAGATATAAGATACTTATATATACTATAAGATGTATATCTTAAGATATCTTAAACTAACTCTTTATTTTTTTTTTAAACTATGCGACATGAGTTAAATCGTCATCGTATTTTTGTATCATATAGCTTTATAGCGAGAACAGGTAAAACACCAGTTTTTTTACTCAAAAATGTTCTGTTTTTTCCATTCTAACCTATCTGTCAAACCGTGAGCAATATGTTCAAGGAGGTGTTTAATAGACAGTTTATTTATTAAAAAAACACGATTGATTTTAGGAAGGTAGTATTAAGAGACATGAAATTAAAACTTTTCGAAAATTCCCCTAATTCGCATATCTTATATTTACATTTCTTCTCATTTAAAGTTCGAAAAAGAAATGTTTTTGTTTGTATTTTATGGTGTGCTGAATTTGTTCTTTTACTTTATTTGAGCTGAGCCGTTATAGCCATGTCCATCTGTTAGCTCTTCAATGGTCTACTTTCATATTTATTAATGGGTGACTATTTTTATATGCAGTTAGCAATTGCAGGAGATAATTGATGGCAGAAATGGTGTCCTAGGCAACATTAATTGCCATCATTTTGTGCCATAGGCTAATTGCATATACAGTTTTCCCCTCATTCTCTATGTGCGTTTCACAGTCTATCTTTGATTTGGTCGTTAAAGCAAACAGTAAACATTCGCTAAGCTGGCCACATGCTGCCAGTCAACATTTCTTTACATTTTACAAACGGTTTGACTGTACCTGAATATGTATTTGCATATGTATAAGTATTTACCTGGCACATTTGTAGCACTTGTGTGTTTTTGCCTCGTTGTGCTGGATGACAACGAAGATGCTAGCAACAAAGGTTGTTGTTGCTTTTGTTGTTGTCGCTTTATTGCCGTGCAAACAATAAAATTTATGCTCAAGCGCGCATCATTCCCTGACTGTCTGCCATGCATATTTACACACACACATACACAGACACATACACACACGTGACTGATGTCCATTGTGACAGGGCTTATTGTTGCTGTTGTAGGAGAGTGGCTAATGTTTCATTAGATTGCACCATCGCTCCCAGGGACATGGTCTAACCTAACCAAAAGGAGGCAGACATCATCAGCGTCAGCGTGATTTCAAATAATAATTAAAACCCGACGAATGTTGTTTGATGTTTTCATGTCGCACACAAGCACAAATTGTGTGTGCGTGTGTGTGCGTTTTCCAGGCAATAGATTAAAGTCAGCGCATGCGAAGCCCCAAAACGTATACTAATGGGCAGCTACATAGAGCCCATGACTGACCAACAGACTGTGCGACTGTCGTTAGCTGCCTGACGATCTAAATGAGCGTTGCTCTGGGCTGCGAGGATAACGCGACGGCAGCACACAAAGTGGTCGTCCTGGTTGCTGTATTAATCCTGACAGCCATTGCTGCCAAAATGCTGTGTTATTTGAATAATTGAAAGGCACACACACATGCTGACAGTTGAGCGGAATGCCTGCAACGCTATCGGCGCCAAGGACCCACGGCAAAGGGAATTATGCATACGTATTTGTATGTCTAATGTCCTGGTGCGCAACGTCCAACGGATTTATAACTGATTTCTGGTGATTTAGTTGGCTCACAAAATGCAATGAGACGAGGCTCAGTTTCTGCTCCGCTACTTTCGGACCCAACCAGGCCACTTGCTATGCAAAATGCCCCGCCCATTCAATGACGAACCGAATCTCATTTGTGCAGCCTGACAGCGCTGGCAACCGGAGGCTGCACCTTAAACGGATGCAGAAATGTATCTAAAACTGTGGCACAAGGACGCGTAAAAGTTAATTGAATTGCTATCGAAGCATATTCGATCAATTTAAATTAGTTCTGCGGTTCTGCCGCACAAAGCATTAAACCTTGGGGCGTTCGTTGCCAGTTTCCA